TGGCACACTGTGGCACATTATGTCAGAAGGCCATTAGAGCTGATCTAGAGGATGCTTCATACCATTTGTTTAATAAATTCCAGTCCCTCCCATCGGAACACAGATACAGATTTCCCAACCTAAAGATAAACATTTATTCCTGTGGCTGTAACCTTGCTCAATAAATTGTTCTGTTGTGCTTGTACATGTGTATTGTTTGTAAGTTTTGACTGTTGCTGTAAAACGAATTGCTCCTTGGGGATAATTAAGAGCCTCTCTCTCAGCGGGGCGTGAGAGCGAGTGAGTGAGTGGGGGGTTTGGAGTCCAGCCTGGCCCGCCTGCTGCTTGGAGCCCGTGCTCTCAGTGTGGTGAAGCAGACCGTGCCGGAGCAGTCAGTTCCCACCAGGAAAGCTCTTGCATTCTTGGGGGGATTCAGGGTATCAGGCAGGGGCTTTAAGGGTAGAGCTAGGGCTTACAGTCAGGTTTTAGGTTCTGTGCAAAGTGGTTTCCAGGTCCTTGCTTTCAATGCTTGTACTATGCCTTTATCATGCTGTGCCCTGTTTTCGCATTGTGTTACTGTGGTGCTGATAAGGAAGGGGTTCAACAAACTCTCCAGCGTTAGAAGCAGTGGTTACCAGGAGGGTAAGTGATGAGTTCTGCAGTTCGTCATGTCTAATCTTCTCTGTGTGAGCCCCTTTCAGTAGAAGCATCTTTTAAAAGCTGTGGTATACTGCTGTTATGTTAGTTAATGTCTGGAGGGTAACATCTCATAGCCCTTGTACAGAGTTGCCATTGTGCAAATCTAACGGGACTCTTTCAGTGCGCACGACCGTGACTGTGACCCGCATTCAGTGGCATTGAAGTCTCTTCCAATAGGGAACGGAGGCTGGCCTTGCAACAGATGCAGAGCGGCCCATAGGAGGCGCTGTGCTCGCGCTGGGGGGTGGGAGAGCGTGCCTCAGGAAACAGGTCCACTGAATAACAAATTGAAGTGGAACATACAGTTCTGTCTCAGCATCCCACCCCCCCCGCCCCCCCATCGCGCCTCCCGGGACCATGGCCATGGTGCTCAAGTCAGAAATGTTGTTTTGACCTGCACCCCAAAATTGTGGAAAAAAGGTACAGGAATGGGAAAGAGAGTTGAAAAGAACCATGCGCAGACCCCCCCTCCCCAGGGCTGAGCGCTGGAGTGTGTGCACCAGCCGCTGCAGCAGAGAGTGTTCGTCCTCAGCGCTGCTGAGGCTCTGCTGTCAGAATGCAGTTTTGGCAGCGGGGGGGCTGCGTGTTCCCTGTAAGATGAGAAGAGAGTTTGGGGGGGGAGTAGGGAAACTTGCCAGATTAGATAAAGAAGCCCAACGGGACCCCTCTCAGTTCTGAACTGAGCTCCGAACTGCAGATGGTCTGTCTCCATCGGCCGCCACAGCGTAAGTGTGGTGTCTGTGGTGCCTGTTTTTCTTGATTGTTTTTTTCTGCGGGTTGCTTGGAAACATCCAGGGCTGCACTCGGATGTCTAATTGTTGTTTGTTTTTATTCTGGAACATTTGGAAACGTTCACTCTTTCAGTCCTCCTTGCCAACTTTTAAACATGCATTTTCACAGCTAAGCTTCTTTCTCTGCTTGCCAGCTTTAGAAAAAGATTCTTTTAAAATCCTTTCCTCTGCTTTCCTGTCTATTCTTCTCCTGCAAGTTCACATTGCCATTTGTTTTCATTTTGCACTCACAGCTTGTGAGAGACCTTAAGGGGCTTGCCTGCTATTAAGCAAACACATTTTGTCATGGATAGACAGCAGTGAAAGTCCAAGCCCAGCAGTGTTTTGTCTTTAAAAATTGAGACTTGTCTTAAGAGCATGTCTTCAAGTCACCTGCCTCTGCATCCGCTTGATCAAGTCTGTGGTCCATCTGTCTTGGCGGAGAGCTGTGGAGCTGTCCATCCAATCTGATTTCTCTGCCGCAGTAACAGCAGGAGGGGTGAATACATGCTGCACTGGTTACTGGTTTGCCAACAGCAGGAAGGAAGCTGTGCAAAACAAACCACCGCTGTGCAGAAGTGCGAGGAACAGGCCCACTGTGCAGGTGCACGAGGGACAGGTTAGCTGCAC